TTTTCCTTTTTTTGCTGGCAATTTATCTTAAACATCCACAAATACATTATTTGTTTATTTTTTTATCAGTTTCCCTTCTCTTTTCCTTTCACGAAAAACACAAAAACTTACACGGTTGCACGCATATATATATATATATATACCACGTGAAAAATAAGAGTGTACAAAAATAAAATTAATCATTTTCGTACACACATACATAATTGTATAATTAAATTAACTTTTCTCACACTTCTATCATTAAATTTAACTTAATAATTACTAAATAAAAAAATACCATTCAACTTATAAAACATTAATTACATCTTATTTAATATTTTTTATATTGATAATACAATTTTTTTGATAAAAAAATTGTTCTTAATTATTTATTATGTGTTTATGCTCACGTTGAAAAAATCTTTAAAAAAAAGTAACATATTAAACATAGGAGATATTAGAATTAAATCAAACAACCTTTTAAAAGTAAGTTGATTAGAGTCTTGGCATTGAAGAAGTAAAACAAAGGGCTGTCGATTCTCGCACATTCACACGTAGAAAGGAATAAAAGCTTAAAGAGAGCACATAACTAAAAATTACAAAAAATAATATTGACTAATATCAGTGTACCCATTAAATATTTTTAAATAATTTTATATTAAATAATTTTAATAAAATCAGACAATTATTTATGTTGGGCGATGTATTTTTTATTAAATTTTTGTTGGCCCCTTTTTGTCATGATTGGAGGTGGGTATATATGAATTTCATCTGTTTCTGAAATTTGGATAAGAGAGATGGATGATGAGGTAGCTGGCAAGTGTCAATCGCATTCTTACTACAGTAGCAGACACCATGTGAGTCTTTGTCCATTGATTGTCACTGTATTTCGTCTTATTCATTTAACTCGTGCCATCTCAAGGAAGGGAAGAGAGAACATTGTTTTATGCTATGATCAATGAGTGCATCCAGCCTTAAAACCCACGCTGGTTCATTCGGGGAATTCCACATTTCTATCGCAATAATATATTTTTTCTGAAAACAAAATACTATTGTTTAATAATTCATTATAAAAATGAAAAAATTAAATAGGATCAAGTAACGTGTTTGAAAAATAAAATTTGAATCTTAATTTCAATCATTGATTAAATTCAAAAATAAATTAAAATAAATATTTTATATTTAAACTTATAACATTAAAATAAGTCCACATAAAAAGATATTATATGTCAATTTTAATATGTGAAGCGAAAAGTAATATACTAGATGTCAACACTTTCTTCTAGTTCAAGTTGCCTCATTTGAATCAACCTACAGTATAATTCATATCACGTTTTGATGCATTGCAGATGTTATTTTTGCTTAATACTTCTTAATACTGTGAACAATTTGTTTGATAAAAATGTATTTTTGAATAATTTATGATATTTTTGAACAATATATTCTCATTCTTTCTACTTTTTGCATTAAGGATTGAGTCACTCAATAACGGCATGGTAAATTGCTCTGATATCGTGAAAGAATATCTGTCTTAGAATGAGAATATAACAATGTATTATTATATGAATTGTAATTAATAGTTAAAATAGAGAGATATTTGTAACAAGAAAAATGACAATCTTAATTATCAAATTTAAGCTTTAATCAAGTAATTAATTATATATTTATCTTTTATTTTATTTGTATCAATCTAATTTAAAATAATATAAATCAGTATAATATATATGAGCTTGTAACTTAATGACTTAATTAATAAGTTATTTTTTTTTTTCACAAAAAATCTATAACTTTTTAAAAAGTGTGTGAAGTAATTTTTTAAGTTTTTAAATTTTAAGGTTCCAGTGATTACTTCATATATATATATATATATATATATTTTATAGGACTTTAACTCAAAACTATAAATATTGATCGGTTGCATGTTAAGGATAAGAGGAGTGATTTAGATATATAGTGGTCTGATTATCATGTGGCATGGCATGCTGCATGGAAGGCACGTACAAAGCGACAAGTTCAATATCCTCTGGCTGATAAAGATTGTCCCTCTGTTGAGTATTTTCAATGTACTTGTCATCGTAAGATAGAGCCCCACAAGATGCAGAGCTTAGAGACTTGCTTGATGGTGTACCACTACATGCTCCCCGGCACCTGACATCACACACCCTGATGATGTTTCAAATAGACGCTCTTTCAGGTGTCGTTTACGTGCAGATATAGGTGCTAGTAGACGTCAGTACCCCAATAAGGCACATATACCAGCCGACTCCCGGCACACGATGTACAACCTAATGTAGATCCTAACGTCAAACCTAACTCACACCACGTATACAAGTTGACACCCACATACCTTAGCCAGCATTTCATGTCAGGACCTAGTCAACAACAGTACATGGCTGACTCTTCTCAACTCCTGTTCATATCAGGTCTTAGCAAACCATATATGACTTTCAGCCAACAGTTTATGGCAGGCCCTAGTCATCAATTCATGTCATATTTTTTCTTACTCCAAGTCCTATGTAACATTTTGTCATAGGTTTAGTTCAGGATGATATTACACAATATATATCTTTTAGTCTACCTTTCATGTCAAATGTTGAGATTATGGCTTTGCTAAATTCATCCAGTACAGCCAGATCTATGCCACTACCAGATCATCTATATTGATCATCACCAACACATGTCCGAACTCCCTCTTTTAATGGTTCACCGCAGGAGGACCAAGAAGAGGAGTATGAAACAAATGGTGAACAAGAGGAAGTGGATAACCAAAAGGAAGACAACCATAATTAGCAGAGGAAGAACATGCACACCGCAGACTTGTACAACATATTGTATATCGTCATTGTGCAACAATGAGTCACATTGTTGGTCTTAGACGCAGTAGACGTGACCCGTATGTGTGTTGTATAAATATTTTATAGACTGCATACTTTAATATTTAAATTTCATATACTTTGAAATTTAAATAATTTAAATTTTATGTTCTTTGAAATATTTACATTGATATCATCTAATAGTTTATAAAATAAAAAATATTAATAAATTATTAAAATTATGTTTTTTCTTTTAATTTAAATAAGAAATCGAAAGAAATTATATAAGTTATGCATATATTGATCATGATCTAAACTCTAAAAATGTATAAGTCGTGATTTTTTTTATTTTAATTAAAGTTGATTCTTGTATAACTGTAATCGACTTCTTCATTGCACTATTAAAAATAATTTAAATTAACTTGTACATTAGAATTAGAGTTGATTTTAATTAATTTTTGTGTAATTTAAATTATATAAAAAAATTTATTCTGATATATATATATATATATATATATATATATATATATATAATAGTTTATTTTTTTATTTTATTTATGTAAAAACCCGTAACTTTTTTCTTTCAAATTTTTTCTCCGCATGTACTCAAACTGGCCTTATGAAATTAGTTTTTTAGAGAGAGGGCGCTTAGATTATAAAGAATGAATTAATATAGGTTAGAGTGCAGCCCACAGGAAAATTGGTTTGGCTATGTTCATGTTTACTGTGTTCCACCGCTGTGGTGGGGCATCAAAATTATTGCAACCCACAAAATTACAAAGAAACCCTTCAAATTGTTCCCATGTCCCACCCCCGAATGGATGGGGAATCTTTTTACACGTTTTCGAGAAAACCCCCCAACACCATTCACTTGACGCCGCGTATTTCTTCAATTTCAAGCAATTTTATTTCTCTCATATTAAATATTACCATTTGAAGCTCAGACTTAAATATTTATTCATCTTCTACTCAGCAAGTTTATGAAATGAAAAATTAATATTGTGCTATAAGACACTTAAAAAAATAATAAATAAATAATATTTATTAAAAATTGTAGCATTTATATTATTATTTATTAAATTTTAAATTTTTAATAAAAATTATCATATAAAATTTTGTTATATGCTTTTTTTTTTACTTGTAAATAAAAATATTTTATTGCATTTTTATAGTACAAGTTAGAAAATAAAGTCAGTATTGGCCCCACTCAATGTTCCATCGGATAATATCTAAAATGAACGTCCCTGATCTTGCAACGTTGTTGTCCATCCCTTCATTGTTGGTCCCATGGTCCCCATTCATTGCAAATTATGATAGAGGCTACATCAACAGTACACTCTTCTTTTTTCTTTTTAATCAATTTTTTTGTACTTTTAATTCCTAATTTATACAATATTATTTAATTTTTTTTAACATGTGACTATATAATAAAAATTTGTATACAATAAAATTTATTAAAAAATATAAAATATTTAATATTATAATTTTTCATAAAAATCAAAAAGTGAATATTATTCATTAATTTCTAATTGTTAACTTTTATGATAAATATTTAAAATATACTTATATATCAAAATATTTTGTGTGAACGTGCTAGATTAATTAGACAAATATTAATATTATAAGAACTATTCTAAAAAAATAAAATTTTATAAAATTAAAATCAATTAAAAATTTGTATAAAGACTAATTTTAAAAAAATATATTTAAAATATATTTATTTATTTGTTTAAACTTTATTATTATTTGTAACCCATTCCCTATCCTATTCCTCATCTCTCTTCACAGGTATATGGTTTGAGGTCTGTTTAATTTTTTAATTTATTTTTGGGATAGGCCCGTCCAGTAATAAAAAAAAAGCCTTTAATGATTATGGGGTTAAATATTATTGGGGATAAATAATGTATTAATGATTGATTATAAATAATAACGTAATGCCACAAACAAACGGGCGTTAAAAAATGGAGTGAATATTCGAGTATATCCAGACGATTTGGATAATGAATAGATTGAAATTATTGGACAAAACTGACGTGGATCCTTGCTGTCTGACTTGAATTCTATGACTGGTCAGATCTAAATCACCCAATTGAAAGATGCCACCAAAACTTACATTCATGTGCGCGGCGGGTAGAGACCATGTTGGGCCCACCCCAACATGAATTTTGGTATAAAAGGCATTGATACGCATGATCCAATTCCACGGCAAGAACATAGACAAATGTTAATGATGGGTGCATCCTCTGTGGCCGCCGCAAGAGTTACTAGGTTTCTGCCTAGCAACCGCTGGGACTCGAGGCTTGTCGGGCAACATGACTCGAGTGTTGGTGATGTTGAGTTTGAATTTCTTGATGATGGGGAAATGTTGCTTGCTCAAAGTGCTAGCAGTGATGAGTGTGGTCACCCCCATGAAATTGAGTTTGATGAAGTAGCCAAGGATCACACTGAAAGTACCATTGAGGAGAATAGAAGCTTCTGGGACAACCAACACCAGCTTTTGCAGGTAATAAAATTTAAAACTTTCAAATTTTATTTTAATAATCTATTTAATATTTAATTATTTTTTTTATGGAAAGAATAAAAAAATAAAAGCATGCAAATAAAAAACGTTTTTTAAAACAAAACAGATAAGAATTTGTTTTAGGTACAAAGTTCTGGTTTTGAGGTTTGAGACATGCATGTATGTTTTGTTTGTTGTGACTAAGTGGGGTTTAATTAAGTGCAGACGAGTATATGCAGAACGAGTTCTTTGGAGTCAAGGATAAGGCAAGCCACCAAAGAAGCGCTTCTGGAAAGTCAAAAAGCAGAAACTGTGTGTGGTTGTGGGATACAGATGGGTGCCACCACTTGCAGAAAATGTTTGATGAGAGAAGTTACTAGGCGGCTTCAGAAAGCAGGTTATAATAGTGCTATTTGCAAAACAAAATGGAGAAGCTCACCAGATATTCCCTCAGGTTCTCATCATAAGTCCACAATTCCATCTTTTTTCGTTTGTTGTCTTTTTAAGAAATGAAAAGAGGGGTGGGTATAAGATAAGATTGGAACTTTACTAAACTACATTATCCCTTTTTTTCCTGCCTACGAAAATGTCCCTTTCAATTTATAACTAGACAACCTTAAACAAAAAATTATCATCATAATATTCCAACTTGTGGGAAACCATTGTCTCTGTCAGAATGATTAAAAAATAAACAAATGGTAGAGACATTCGGGACTTTGCCCCTCCTCTATAAAAGAAGAAAGATAGAGACATTTACTTGGGAAACTGAAGTATAGAACCAATTGTCATTGGGTTTTTAAAATTTAGTATCATAATTAAGTTTGTTAATCATACTATGAAAACTATGTGCAGGGGAACACAATTTTTTGGATGTGATAGACAGCACAAGCTCAAAGAAAGGGGAGGTGAGGGTGATTGTGGAGCTGAATTTTCGAGCAGAATTTGAGATGGCGAGGGGAAGTGAGGATTATAACCGACTTGTGCGGAGGCTACCAGAGGTATTTGTGGGAAAAGTAGAGAGATTAAGCAATTTAATAAAGATTATGTGCATGGCAGCCAAAAGGTGCATGAAGGAAAAAAAAATACACATGGGACCATGGAGAAAGCATAGGTACATGCAAGCCAAGTGGTTGGGTCCATGTGAAAGGAACACTTCAACTACTTCCCTTTCAATGGGATATTCTGAGAGGATACCAATGCCAAAGGCAAAGCCTAAGGCATCTATGTTGACTGTTGATCTTTTAGAGAAGCTTCCTAATATTCATTGTACAGCGGTTGAGGTTGTGTAATTGTAAATGGGATAACCCTACTTTTTTTTCTTCCTTTTTCTTTTGCCATTTTCTTCCCCTTCCTTTCCATTTGGTGAATATCAAATGAGTAGTTTGCAGTAATGCATACACATGTACTTAAAAATAATTTGCAGAAGTGAATGTGCAGTTCAAATTAAGCTGCTATTAAAGCTCATGAGTACATCCGTAAACATAAGAAAAATATTTGTTTTATATCAATTTTTCTTGCATCTAATTTTTTTTTTAAATTTACGGTAATATGTGAAATTGTTAAAGACATCATGTGTAAAACTTATATATTTACCTTGTTTGATAATTTTTTTATAAAATAAAAAATTATCAATTCAATCATTAAATTATCTTCTATTTTTTTAAAGTATATTAATTTTTACATAATTTAAATATTTATAATACGATAAACTTCATTTTTTTATAAAGTTTTATAAAATTACTTTATTTAATAAAAGTCTTTAAATCAATAATATAACTTATGTCAAATGCAAACAGAGAGAGAATAAGTCTCAAATTAGAGCAAGGATTAATATTTTAAAAAAAATGACAGAAAACAATTGGTGTTCTTTAACATAAACCTTCTTTTATGGATTCAATGTATCATTATGTCTAAGTGAAAAGTATTGATTTTTTTTTTTATCGTTGAATGAAAACTTATATTATTAACTTCATTACTAAAGAGTGAACCCATTCTTTAATTGGATTAGTATAAGATTTTATCTAATAATAAATAAAATATTTAAACTCAAAAACATTTTATTAGCATTCCAATATCAATAAAGTTATTCGGAGAGAGCTAAATAAAAATTGAAATATGTTGTGCTCAGATTGAAATTCTATTTTGTTTTTACTGAAATTGAATGGTTCAGTCAAACAAAATTTTGCACTTTTGCTTAATTAAAAAAAATTTGCTTTAAGTAAAAGTGTAAAATAAATTCACAGGACTGTTTAGTTATAGGACTAAATTCGTATCTGTTGTGCTCTTCTAACGAAGGTAACAAAAGAGTCATATATATCTACAAGTGATGATATTGGATGAAAACTCCTTATAGCATGATAAGCTTGTGGACATTAATGACAAGAGATACTTATTCTAGATGAAGAACTACTATAGTTTTTTTTTTAATTTAACATCATTTATATGGACTCTCATTTAATTTAACACGACATATAAGTCGCTTAAAATGAATGTATAGGATTAATTAGAAAGACAATCTTTTATGAAATAGAAAGATATTCTCTGTATGCAAAGACATTGAAGAAATTTAAATTTGAACAAAAGTTAAGTATTGTTATTCTCCTTAAAGGATCTAAATTCTCTCACCTTCCTAAGTATAGTCATATTGGAGAGATAAAACATAAGAAAAGAAAAACATAACTAATGAGTCATTTTTTTTATGTGTGTATTTATTCTTCAACAAGATCATCCTGTTACATTAGAGGACACAAATCCCTCCTTAAACACAGAAATAAAATTAATAATATAAACTAGCATTTTGCAATTCAGATTACTCATAATCAAATTATTTGTTTTGATAGTACAAAAAACAAACTTATAATCTTTCGGGACTAGCTGCATCTCACTCTTCATGTCTTTGCCATGAGGATCCAGGCATTCGAGTGAATGGTTTTCTTTTAGCCCAGTACTGACTGATAGCACTTGGACAGGCCCAAAGTATAAACTATTTTAGGACAACAACTCAACAAAGGAAAGAGCAAAATACATAAACTCAGCTCAAACGGCCCAGCTCTTTGCATTTGGGTTCGACAATGCAACCTTCCCAAATTGATTGGGTTTCTGCAAGCATGGCCCAATTACTACACAACATATTTTTACGCCAACAAAACTACGTAAAGGGATGAATGACAAAACAAAACAAAAAAACTACTCTTCAAGATGATAAAAAAAAAAAACCAAAAGAGGATGCATTTGTATCCGTGCGAACCGTACTCTTCATAGTGAATGGCATCTTTGCTGCCATTTTCACTGTCCCGTTCGGTTTAAATTCAATATAATTAAATTTGACAAAATAATTTGAATAATAAATATGATTAAAATATATAAAAATAAATTTAAATGAAATATTTTTGTTAATATATATACGGCTTAAAAGTATATAAATAAATTAGCAAAAAAAGTATATAAATAAAATTTGTAATTATAGAAGAAACAAATTGAATTTGTTAAATAATAACACGTAGCGAACACCATCCGTACCTCATTCTCTCTGATAGCGACACTTGGATTCCACCCTTCACCACTTTCCATCTTTCATTCGAAAAGAAAGCAAAATAATGTCCCTCTCCGTTTTCTCTGACTTTCTTCCTGTGGTCCCCACATTCCACCACCACCACACTTGATCACATGGATTGTTATTACCATCTCTTTCTATTTTATGCAACAAACACTACCAAACCTACACCCATCCCTCTTCATCATCATTATTCATCATTCACTATTCAGTTTTTCCAAATTCCAAAACCGACACACCCCTTCAACTCTATTTTAAGGTCACTATTTCCTCCCGGTATCGTATGTATCCCATCGTATCTTTGTATTGACCCTACTATTTTTACCCTATAATTTAATACTTTTTAATTAAAAGTATCTATTATCACACTTATATGTTTATTGCTATTTTAATTTAAAAACATATTTAAATATAATACCCGAAAATATTTTAGGCAAAAATCTAATAATAATAATAAATATATGAATGTAACAAAAAAAAAAGCCATTTTTGTCATGTGCAATATAAGTTTAAAAAATAGAAAAAATAATAATACTTAATATATAAATATAAAATAATCATCTTCACTGTACACCTGTCTTTCTCTTTTTTCGTGGAAAAAGATGAATTTAGGTGCAGCATTTTTCTGTCCTTGCAAACAAATTCGCAGGAATTGGTTTTGGCAAACAGAAACACCCTTTCTAGCTTAGCGATTAGATCTCCCCACCTTATGTGAAAGCCTTGAACCTTCAGGTAATGTTTTATTGGTATCTTGCATGCATCATTTGGTTTTCATTTTTGTTTTTTCTAAAGCTTATTTCAAATTTTCTTTTGGGATTTCTTTTTTCTAAAATCTGAATCACCTTTATCTGCCGATAGTTTAATTTGTTTGTGATTCTTTTAATACAATAATTAGTGTACTTTTTTGGGACGTAATTATGGGCGTTTCTTCGTTTATCACACAAATAAATTATTTCATTTGTATTTTTATTTTCCTGGTTTGTTTTAATTTTATATTTTTTGTTAGATAGATTAATATATTGAGGCATCTCTGTGGGATTTCGCAGGCTTTTACGGAAGGTGGGATTTGAGTAGAAAGGGGTGTTGGCTGTTGACTTTACGGAAGGCCAGTTTCTTTGTTCATTAGTGTTTTTGTTACCTCTTTTTTCCCTTTTCAATTGAACCAATTCCTCCCCTTTTCGTATGATTTTTTGTGATTCCTCCTCTCATTTTTGTTAAAGGGTCTCAAGAAATCAATCTAGTTTTGAGACATGTTTGGAGTTTTGTAAGTAAAAGATCTTAATAAATAAGGTTTTTGTAGGAAGGAATATAAATATATAATTGAGAATAAGATGGAGGAAGATACAAATTCTTGGATTAGGAGGACGAAGTTTTCTCACACAGTGTGCCATCGTTTGGATCCTTCTAGATTAGGCTCTATTCCTATCACCATTCAGTCAGAGCAAATATCAAGGCCTTCTTCAGAGGCTCAGACAAACCTCGTTAAAAATAAGCATAGATCTTTGTCTCCATTGCCTCAGACTTTTCTCTCTGAGGCCTTCAGGGAAGCTAGACATGAACAGAAGAGGTTCTCAACACCAGGTCCTAGGAGGGAAAAGAGGATTATGGGCAAGTTGTTGCACAAGGATTCTCGGGAAACTAAGGAATCAAGTTCGAGGTCATCTTCCAATAGTAGTTCAAATGGACAAATGGAGTCAAAGCACCACAAGGATGCAGCATGGACTAGGTATTTTGATAATGGTGGAGGAAAGGCTACTGCTGTGGAAACAGCTAAAGAGTGGAATGTTGACATGTCTAAGCTGTTTCTTGGCCTCAAGTTTGCACATGGAGCTCATAGTCGACTATACCACGGTGTATATAAGGATGAGGCTGTTGCTGTTAAAATCATTTGTGAACCTGATGATGACGAAACTGGAAACATGGCTTCTCGATTAGAGAAACAGTTTGTCCGGGAAGTCACCCTTTTATCTCGACTTCACCATCAAAATGTTGTTAAGGTGATTAAATCTTTTATTCTTCTTTGTATACGCTGTTTGCAAAGTATGTATGCTTAGTGTGGATGCTGTCTGTTATGCCTTATTTATTATTGAACAAAGTTGTCGAGTCTTTTGTTTTGTTCTAATTATTGGATTGGATTTGACCCTTTTAAATTTTAAAATAAGCATGTTATTTTATTAATCCTTTTGCATTTATGTTGGTCCAATTGTGCTGTTCATATATGTTGAGATAATTAGGTGGCTGCTAATTTGTACTTATGTCTGATGTATTGTTCTGATTACAGTTCTTAGCAGCATGCACAATGCCACAGGTTTATTGTGTTATCACAGAGTATTTGTCGGAAGGTTCCTTGAGGGCATTTTTGCACAAGTTGCGGCCCAACGCTATTCCTCTACAAAAGTTGATACCTTTTGCTCTGGATATTGCTCGCGGAATGGAATATATACATTCTCAAGGTGTCATTCATCGAGACCTCAAACCAGAGAATGTCCTTATCAATGAAGACTTTAGCCTTAAAATTGCTGATTTTGGCATTGCATGTGAGGAGGCATCATGTGACTTATTGGCCGATGACCCTGGCACCTTCCGTTGGATGGCACCTGAGATGATCAAACGTAAAGCATATGGGAGAAAGGTTGATGTGTACAGTTTTGGGCTTATCTTATGTGAAATGTTGACTGGAAAAACTCCTTATGAGGATATGAATCCAATACAGGCTGCTTTTGCAGTAGTAAATAAGGTATGATCCTTTGCAATCAAAGTCATCTAGGTTACTAATGCGAATACCAGGCTATTATTTATCACTTCGTTCTTCATTGCTACCACTCTTTGTAAAGGTCCTATGTTATACTAGCCTTCCTATAGTTAATTATTCACTTGGCTTGCTGCTAGACAAGGCATATTTCATTAATGATTGTTCACTTTCTGAGGAAATCAAACTCTAATGCCACTGAATAGTATCCAAACAAGTTCATTCCCAATCCCATCCTATAAAGAACTCTTATATTTTATAGCAAAACCATGTATTTGTGAGATATAGCTGAAAGCCTTGGCTAAGTGCCCCCTTTGCTTAGAAAGCAACAGCAGAGTACACAAATTCAAAAGGAAATCAAATTGAAGTGTAAATTTATGCAATTGGTTTCTTAAGATCTAAACTAACAGTTACTTGTACATGCTATTAATACATATAGTAAATTACTATGCATGACTCTGTCTCCTTGAGTGATATAATGTTATAGCTAATATACTATTAAGAATAGAGCTAATTTATTTCACAGAATCAACAATTATGTGGGTAATTGTGGGGAGGATTTTGCAGTAAACAGTTTGATTTGTCTTTTGGTGTTTGATTTACCTGAATTTTGAGAAAAATCTAGGTGGTCAGCCATCTTTTGTATATTATTTCTTCTCTCTTATTTTTTAATTCACATGACAGAGTTTTACCCATGCAGTTCTTACATTTCTGTTACATGGTATTGTATTTCTTCAGAATTCAAGGCCATTTATTCCATCAGATTGTCCACCTGCTATGCGAGCTTTAATTGAGCAATGTTGGTGCTTGCCAGCAGATAAGAGGCCTGAATTCTGGCAGATTGTCAAGGTATTAGAGCAATTTGAATTATCACTTGCCCGTGATGGAACCCTCACTCTGGTGCAATACCCTTGTGGTCAAGATCATAAGAAAGGGCTTCTTCATTGGATTCAAAAGCTTGGTCCCGTGCATCAGAATAGTGGCCCTGTGCCTAAACCCAAATTTACATGAATCTCTCAAGTGTCCTGGCTCTTATTATACACCAGGTCCATTGTAATTAAAAATGAAAGGTTTGTTTTTGAGGTTCTCTGGTTGTAGTAAATTGATATTTAGACTTGCACATAAAGGTGAAGGCATCTTTTAACTGTGTGTGCATACTCAAGTTTTGAAACTCCAGCTTCATCTTTTATAATTCTGATTAATATTCTTAAACTTGGCTCAAACTGGTCGGTTGAAATGGTTGGCTCGGAAACCGGATATGTAACCGGTTTGAGTTCATAATCATATCGGAAAAAAGCCGGTAACTCGGCCAAGTTGTTTCCAAAGCGGAACTTGCCACTTGAATTAAGCTAGCTATAGGCACAAGTCCTGTTTATAGAACGTCAACTCTCTCCAACTCTCAAGTCTGGTCGATGCAGGACTTAACCTAGGTGAAATTGGAAGAAAGGGGTAAAGGCAAGAATAGAATACCGATCATGGTGCATAATTGCCAAACTGAGTTACTTTTATATCAAGTGGATATGACGTATAATATTTAGATCGAGTTAACAATCGGTCTAAGTTTTATGACACTAATTTGGTATTATTGATACATAAAAAAGAGTCATTTTTTTCTCCTTTAATTGGAATTTTTTTTCATATTTTAATATTTGTGTGATTTTAGTTTTTTTTTTAATTGTTTACATTTAGTTATTATAGTTTTTTATTTTAATTAATTTTTTAATTTAAAATTTTATCTAATAATTAACAAAAATATAACAGAGGTGTAGTATTTATATAAGTCTTTTTTTATTTAATTACGTGTGTATATATATAAAGTTAAGGTTCACTGACATGAGGGGTCAAATTTAGATACTTACATAATAACTTTATTAATCAATCTAATAGTTAGTTTGAAGATTTTTATCAAATAAATTTTTATTAAATTTCATTAAATAAATAAAATTATTATTGTATTATTTTATTTAAAAAGTCATATTTTTAAAATAAAGTAAACAAAAAAATTTGAATAACATACTTATAACTATTTATATTACATAAAAAATAATATAAGATGATGTAATTGTCTAAATTTGAGACATGATATTAACAAAATTTGACTTATATATATTCTTTTAAAATTTATATAAATTAATGATATATTGTAATTTTATTATATTTCTGTCAAATATTAAATTAAATTTTGAAACTAGATATTGATTTGAAGATATAAAAAATTATGAGAACTAATTATGAGTAAATATAATTAAAGATTAAAATTACTTATAAGTTAAATTATGAGGATTAAATGTATAATTATTATTATTATTTGTTTACATGTTCTAAATAATACTAAATGGAATAAGTTAGAGACAGAGGTAGTTTTAACTGTCTCTGTGATGCTTTCTCTATAGTACTTTGTTTTACCCCTTTGCATCATGAGATTGAAGTTAATATCTTTGGGTGATTCTAAAATCTTCCCTTTATTTTTGCAAAAGGTAAATACAATGCTTTTCAATAAGTAAAGTGAAATTAACTTTGAACTATTGATATTTGTAGATATAAAATGAATAACTAAGATTAATTAGTGAAAAGATTAGAAATCAAGAGAAACATGTGACTATATTGGGTAATAAAATGTTAATGAAGGATAAATAAGTAAATTGCTACTTCTTCTTTATTTATTTTCTCTTCATCTTTACTACAACTCCTTCATTTTCATTTTTCTCATTTCCTCTCAACCTCCATTCCCAGATTTTTTTTTATCTAAACTTTAAAATTTGTTAGATAAAATTAACAAAGGTGATATTTCTCTTGTGACTTCTTTCATAATTTCCTCTGAATTACATGCACTGCTCTATCAATCTGGGTTCCAATGAGACATGGCTGAACATGAAACGTGGTTGGGAAAAAGCAAAATTTAAAAAAACAAATCAAAACTTCACAGGTAAGATAACGCTTCCTGCAATGCTTGTTTCACGCTTTCCACCCAGCGTATTTTCAAATAAACACCCAACACTATCTACATCAACTTTGTGACCAACCGCTATTAAATCTATGCTTTCTTATTTTCCAAACTTCTACATCAATCATTATCACCACTAGATATAGATATGATTTTTATTAAAAGGTTGCAACTTTCTACATTGGTTCTCTAGTTCTCTAAAGAGAACTAATGTAGAATTTTATTTTTTTACGTAGCTATTTCAATATCGATTCTCGTAAAATTGATGTAGAACATATTTTTTTATAAAGAAAATACAACTTTTTAACTTTCTACATGGGTTCTTTGAAAAGAACTAATATAGAAAGTTATTTTTCACGCAATTACTTTAATATCAGTTCTCTTATAAAACTGATGTCGTAATTTTAAAAAAAAAAACCACACAACTTTCTATATTGGTTCTCTAGAAAGAACAAATATAGAAAGTTTTTTTTTCTTTCTTGCATAGCTACTTCTACATCAGTTCTCTCTAGAGAATCGATGTAAAAAGTAGTAAGAATTTTTGAATGTCATTGTTTTTAACATCGTACACGAAGGCGAGTATAAACTTTGATTGTTTGTTGCTTCGTTGTTTCAATATATTAATAAACATAACAACGACTTGATACCCATGGAAAGTGGAACAAACATATCATTTTATTAGTTTAAATTTTTCTGTGTTAAAATTATGTCATTTATGAATCTTTGATGGTGCTAATAAGATGATAGTAACAGAGGAAGAAAATGAGGAAGACGATGAAGGAGGAACATAAATAAGATTCTAAAATTTCAATATTTTCTAAATCTGTTAGTATTATATTTTTCTGGGTAAAAGTTCTGCCATTTGGGAATCCTTTACAGGATAAGAATGAAAGAAGAAGAAGGAAAGAAACCATTGCATTACTGATTTCAGAATCTATATATTTTGTGTTAATTGTATTGAGTATTGTCCAACAAATTATGTATTAATGATTATGAAGAATATGAACTTTCGACTTGTAATTGTCACAAATTGAGAAGAAAAAAGAATATAAAATTACTAGTATATTCTTTTAGAAGTCTAACTTAAATAATCAATTTCCTGTAATACAATTTTAACCATATGATTAAAATCAATGGTTCATAATATTTAATAATTTTTTGAAAAGTTATTTTTACTTTACTTTTTACAGAAGAAAGGAGGATTTTAGATTCACCCAATATCTTCAGGATTCTAGGGCTTCTTTGGAGGAGTCTAGAGAACGAAAAGGAAAGGAGTATGCTGGGAAAATAAGCTTATCGGGTTTGGTCTGTATTTATTGTGGGCTTTTCCATGATGTTATCCTTTTTCTTTTGAAGAATGGAGAGAAAGAAATGTAAGAATTTTAGTGCGCTATATATATTTATATTCATTATAATTTGTTTAGATTTGTGAAAAAAATATGCATTTTTGTTTTATTTTAATTAAATTAAATAAAAGAAAAAAATATGATTAGTTGTTAAGATAAATGGTAAAAAAAATTTATCTTTAAACGATAGTTCTGGATATCAACTCTCAATTAATTTAATTTTTGTCATTAAATTGAATAACATAAATGTTTTAGGATTTAGGGTTGGAAGGACACAAATAATATCATTTTAAAAATTTTTAAAATTAGATTAATTTTATTTTGACTTTTAAGATTTTGAAGTAATCTTTTGTAACTTGTCTTCTGTCTTTTTCTTCAACCATTATAGTGACAATATTTACTTTCCAATAACTTTGTTGAACCAGAATAAGGGATGAAAAAGGTCAATAATGTTTTGACCGAATAACAATAATGTTGATAACAAAAGATGGTTGGACTGGTTGAAAGTAGAGATGACTGATAGACGATTATTGAGTCGCTATCAAAACAACTAAATTTTTTAAAGATTTTGTAGTATAAAGCTAAACCTAGGTCGATTTACGAAGACACATTTTTAGTCAAATTCAATTTTAGGTTTTCTTTTAAAAAATGTAAATAAGGTTTTTGGGATTTTAAAGATTGCAATTAATCAAATTAAATTATGAACAGAATTAAAGTGAGTAAAAAAATGAATTAAGAAATATCAATCCACAGAATACCAATTGCGTGTAACTCCGACTATCACAGTATCTAAAGATTTAAATCTACGTTTGAACAATCACCTAATTCAATTAATTCAATCAAATAACCTAATTGAATAGAGTTATGAATTAAATCAAATAATCATTTAACCTAATTCGTATTTATTATCAAATTAGAGTATCAATCGAGTCCTAATTTGAAATCTAACAACATAAAAGTCAATCACGATTGCAATAAACAATTCTGAAATTAGAGAGAAAAAGAGAACAAACTCGGAGCAATTAGCGCAGAACTCAAGTCAGAACTACAGCATTTGGATTCCGCGGATTGAACGAGAGGTTTATCCTTCAATCGAAATGCTTAACTCACCCAAGAATGAGAAAAGAACGAGAGAATTCGAGAGAAAGTAAAAATAAGAATTCTTATTTTGGTCTAGTCTTAAAAGCTCAAAGTGTCTAATCCTCCTAAATTGATAATCTTATTAGTCTATTTATAGGTTTTGATTAGGGTAAATTAAGTGGCTAAAATGTGGACCTCAATAATATCTAAAAGCCCAAATATAATTATTAAATAAGAATGGTTCAAATGCAATCTTGCAACAATATTCAACAAATCTGCCTCAACTTCAAAAAATTATAAAAAAAATGAAAACAACTTTAAATCTAGCGATCCATATATGCATTTTGAAGCCCTAGATGTATATAATCCAATGCAACTAGAATAAACTAAAAATGATATCTGTAGAAAAAGTTATGGCCAAAAGAGTAATCGGAGGTCAGAATAACTGAAAATACGAAATTAAATCATTTATTTGTTACAGGCCCAATTTATTCAAATAAGTAAAAAATAGTAAAAACTATAAAAATAAAGCATATGAAAAAGTGTTTATTAATCAAAATAAAACATTAAATATAAATATAAAATATGTTACAACAATGACAGAAAAAAATATTGACAATGATAAAATAACTCATAGTACAAGACGTACTTAAGAGTAAAAATGAAAAAGAATATTTTTTTTTCAGCCAAATGGTTGTGACAAATATCAGAAGTGATTTATAATAGTTGGAAGCAAAGAAAATGATTAAAGAAAAATGTTATGAAATACCACCAAGTAAAAGAAAAAGAAAGAAAATGAAGAAACTTTACTGTTCAAAAATTTAATAAAAATAAATTATTTTAAAAAATTAAATTGATATTATTTTATATCCTTTAATATGTTATTTAATGTGATAAATTATTATTTTATTATTTAATTTTAATATTTTTTATGATACTTATTAAAATATTGAAAGTTGTTAATTTAAGAAACTAAAATTTTAAATTTCAAAACTTTAATTACATTACATATTTCATATACTAAGAGCTTGGGTTACCCGTTTATTTATTCTCCTTTTCGTCTTGGGATACCAAAGTGGGAGATTAAGACTTGACAGACAAATTTACCGCTTACTATAAGGTAATTTTTGTTTTGGGTCAACTCACCATCTGCGAAGACACATCTCTGACACCTTTTACTTTTATTTTTATTTTTACTAAACAGTTTTATTAATTTATTGATAAAAAATAATAAATTTTGGCATAAGT